ATTCAAAAGACGGAACACAGATACTGGATGGTGACAGAGAGAGATTCACAAAAACGGAATTTTAATATACAATGTGTACAATTAAGTCTGAACCATATGTGTTTTCTGTAAAACTAGAAGTCGCTGGTTAAATGAAATTAGAATAATAATAAAGAAAAAATGCAATATTCTCATTGTGAATAAACTAGTAATTAATTTAAATATTACGACAATTGACCGGCTTAACTCATTGCTGTAAAATGTACAAAGAAAAGACTTACCTTTGAAATATAGTGTATTAATTATTGTAGTCAGTGGAGTAGAATTGTATCTGCCCGTCGCGGCGCCAGCTGAGGAACAAAAAAAGGGACGTCCCGATAAACTCAAGATGACTACTGTACGCTGTCTATATAGAAAGTGTGTTTTGAGATGGTCAGAAAACCCTCTGACCGTTCTTAGGTCATTTATGGTAAAAGTGCGCCCCCATAAATCAGTGCTATTGTAATGAGCTTTTGAATGGCAATAATCTAACTAAATCGTTACAGAAATATGATACTTTACAGCGTTTTCTGTGTTTTCGACGTAATTGTCAAATATCAAAGATAAGTCAGATTCTTTGAACTTAAAACAAGACCACATGTGCTAGCCAGTCCGACAATGAGATTCCACTGAATAGCAGAAAATAATATATTTTAAAGTAAATAAGTAGTTAGAATATACCATTAAATTCATATGACCATCAATATGACCAAGATCATATTGATGATATAATATCACAAAATGCCGAGTAGAGCGTGGTATCAGTTTCTGAATGTGTTTAATACGATTGGCAATTTGTGACTAGATCCTGCTGACTAGATCAGTCAACAGGATAGTTGTCAAGAGCTCCTTTCTTGCGATAGATGGTCTTGTGGAGAAATACCACTAGAAATGTAACACATGCAAGTAAAGAGGTCAGTTGTATCTGTTCAGATGTTTCATCATCCCAGGATACATTGAGGTCCAACAATGGTTGTAGAATACGTTTGTCTAGCAAAAAGACTAGACTAGAAAAAAAAACTAAGAGGACACAGAAAAAATACGACTGATTTCAGAACGAATAGACTATTTTGTACAAGGTTTGTCAAAGGGAGGAGAAAAATAAGAAAAGAAGTCAGTCGTAGGGTTCCATTTTAGGACTGGCACAGTAAAACAATGGAAGGTTCCTCTTTGTCAATCGAACAACATGTCAAAATGTCTGAGCCAAACCTTAAAATAAACGAAGATGGTTCGTTAGCTTTAAAAGATAAGTGAGTGCTTACTGCAGAAGGTGAGTAGATAAAAGAGTTACTATTGTAGAGGTTTTTAAGAAAAATAAAACGAAGAAAGTACCGTAAGTAACGGTACGAAGAAAAATTCTTGGAGATGTTTCGAAAAATCGGATCTCCAGAGAACCCTTTATAGGTCCAAAATTCATTATTTACTTTAATTTGTTGATATGTTTGCTTTCTATCGCAAATGAAACAACAACTAAAATATGGATAATTAAGTAAATAATGAATAATAATAGATAACAGAGACGAAAGAAGGAAATCCCTATAATAACATTATCTGAATTGACGGAAACCTTAAAAGAGGTTAAAAACGGAAAAGCCGCAGGGCCTGGAGACATTCCCATAGAGCTGGTTAAATATGGGCCGACTGCACTTTTAGAATTCATAGTAGACCTTTTTAATAAATGTATGTGTGGAGACCAGGAAATTCCCAAAGATTGGAATAAATCTTATATATGCTCCATATATAAGAGAGGAAATAAAGAGACTGTTCCAATTATAGAGGTATTAGTATGACAAACTCTGTGGGTCGGTTGTACAGCAGAATATTAAAGAAGAGGGTTGAAAGACAGATACAAGATATTGAAGAACAAAGCGGCTTTCGTACCGGGAGATCCTGCCTTGATAATATATTTATCCTACGACAAATAATTGAAAAGCGTGTCGAAAGAAGTAGAGAGACCCATTTGGTATTTATAGACCTTGAGAAGCATATGATAGTGTCCCGTTAAAGAAAATGTTTGAGGTCCACGAAAGGTCCGGATTGGATTCGACGTATATCCGAGCGATATATAAATTGTACGAAAATGCAGTTAGTTGTGTAAAAATAAGCAAGGATGCATGTTTAGTCCACCGACACTCTTAAAAATATACGTCCAAGAAGCATTGAGGAATTGGAGAAATAAATGTAGATTTAGGGCATCGAACTGGGACAAGAAACTCTGTATACATTAGTTGTTTGCAGATGATTAGGTGGTGGTTGCAACCAATGAGGAAGATATAAATTATATAAATCGAAAACTATTTGAGGAATATGCCAAATGAAGGCTTACTGTAAACATAAGCAAAACAGAATATTTAAAAATTGGAGGAAATACCATAGATCTAAGGCTTGAAAACGCAGTCATAAAAGGTTGCAACCAGTATAAATATCTAGGAAGCATCATATCAGCAGATGGCAGAGTTAAGATAGATGTACAAAACCGAATAACCCAAGGGAAAAAATGCATCCGAATACTGAATTCAATACTGTGGTCTAATAAAATAAAGATGCATACCAAACTTCGTGTATACAGAGCAATTGTAGAACCGATTACCACATATGGTGCCGAATGTTGACGATGACAAGAATGAACGAGATAAAGTAGATCGTTGTGGAAATGGATTATCTTAGAAGGTCATGTCGAGTATCGAGAATGGAAAGAATCAGGAATGAGGAAATACGAAACCGTACAGGAATTAGAGATACTCTTTCAGATAGAATACAAGGAAGGCAATTACAATGGTATGGTCACGTGATGACAATGGAGGAGGAGCGGTGGCCAAAGAAAGCCTTAATGTATGTTCCGCCAAGAAGAAGAAAAAGGGGAAGACCACCAAATTCCTGGAGAAGAGAAATTACAAAAACAATGCAATCCTAGAGGCTTAGAAGAGGGAGATTGGAGAGATAGGAAAAGATGGAGGCTGAAATGCGGGAAGCGGCAATCGCCGTAGGACCCCCGTTATATGATGTAAAGTAAATAACGAGATGTCCTTTGAGGGCCAGTATAAAAAGTGTCGATTAGCGACACACCTCGAACATCATATAGATTGGCGTCGAAGCTAGTACGAATTTTGGAGAGAAGAAGCTAAACAACAATTTATTTTTTGATAACTAAGTGAGAGTAATAAGAAATAGTTTATTTATTATCGGCTTTAGGAACCGGCATCATATATGTTGGGAAGTATTAAAATCCTCCATGAATGTAACAAATGTCTCTTTGAGATTTCGGATTTTCCTGAAGCGATCCTCTGGCATACAAAACGAAGACCTGTATGAGAATAACGAATAAGTATCGAAATTGGTATTGATTGGTCTTTACGAGCTTGATCGTGTTGGGACAAAACTAATATGTTTAGACATGTTGTAAGTTACCGCATTAGAAATATCCTTCACGAGCTTGGACGTCACGAACAAAACTAGCAGGTACCTCCTGTTTTCGACTTTCCTAAAACGTTCGTAGAACAGATCTGTTTGTATACATAGAAGTAACGAAAGATGTGAATTAAAATATAAAATAAGTTGTGGAGACTCGCTCTTATACAACATAATTGAAAATTGTTTCTAAGGCCACAGGGTGATTTGGTTCGCCAAGAATTTGACCAGAATTTAATAAACGACGAACCAACTCAACATCTATAAGTATGTCTATAGGATCTGATTACTAAAATGCGTGATCTGGTAGTTTCAGATCGTGACACAAAGTAGTGACCTGAGTGGTACCGGTCAACATTATGTTCAGAACTTAAACAGGAATGGATAGCTTATTACGAGAAAGTCCTAAATACCGAACAGAACTGAAATAAAATTGGCTGTGGAGCCTGTGTCCAGCAGGTTACGAATTCTAAGAAAGCTGCCGAAAATATATTTGATATGGTATTAACCATACGGAAAGAAATATACGAGATTAAATGTGGTTGTGTAGGAAAATTGGTATTGTTGGTATTTGAAGAAGTGGTTGTCTAAAGGAACAATATTACTTTGACGGTTCGTTAACAAACGATGCCGTGATTTGCGAACCATACATTCATTGCTCCAAATGAACTGAAATCAGACAGCGTACACAAGAATTATGTGGATTAACCAACAAGAAAAGTTCTTGAAGCCTTTTAGTCATAAAAAAATACGAACATTTATATAGAGGTAAAAACCAGAACACAAGACACATTTAACACCTTGATTAGTTACCATTGGGTGCTTTGTAACATAGACGAAACCAGAGGTAACAGATATTTAAACGTTTTAAATCGTTTGTGATGTAAAGTTTAAATTCAGCGTTTTTTAGGCATACCTATTTAAAATACCTCACATTTGTCACCAAAAAAAGTTTTGGCCATAGGTTTTGAAGTTTAAGCTTTAGTGGAAATTCTATAGTGACCGGTTAATGAAAGTGATAAATTTTATCGATCTCACGAGAATCGCAAAACAGGCAATAATCGGGCTTTATTTATTTAACGCCCTTATAAATATTTTATTCATATCGCAACTGCATAATTGCTGCTTGCAATCACCTTTAAATCGCGTTTTGATTTTTGTCGATAAGACGCTCTAATTAAAAGGTATCGAATTTTTTCCGAAGTTGATACAAATTTTATTTATAAAAATTGATTTCGCTCGCGTAACTGACATTTAAAACCGCCATTGGCTTCAAGCGTTGTTTCTAAGAGAATGGTTCATTTTCAGTTTACACAAAAATTGCTAAAAAATATTTTTGTTAAAAATTTTCTGTTACATTTTTTTGTTCGTAACATTTTTTTATTTTCTTCTACGGCGTACAGAATTTTGAGAAATCAAGGGGTACGAATGATAAATTTTTTTCCATCTTTTTTGGGGTCTCGAAATTGATATTATCAGCAAGATTCAGCTTTTTAGTAAGATTTTTAGAGGTTCACTGGCATTTTCGTCTCTGACGACTGGAGGAAGGAAGTGTAAATTAGAATACGGAATATTTAAAATTTAATTTATTATTTTTATTTACTTTACATCAAGAATGTATCTTAAGCGGTTCCTGGAGCTGGAGCCGTATTGATGTGGTGACTAAAAGCAAAAGGGCCTTCTGGTAGAGGAGCTGTGTGGATGGAGCCACGCGTTGCAGCTACATAACTAAAACATATAAAACAAATTATAAAAAAGACAAATAACGATTATTAAGACATATGCATTGTATATCACAACCTTAAAACAAACAAATAAAAAAAATTGTAGTAAAAAGGTAAAGTTTAAGTTTATTCGTATCAAAAATAATAATAATACAATAAATAATTGCCCAAAAAATAAGGAATCCTCCTCCTCCTAAGTGCCTTCTCTATTGAGGTTGGCGATCAATATGGCAAATTTCTCTCTGTTCTGGGCTTGATAGATTAAAGTCATTTCCTGTTGTGTGAGTCCAATCTCTGATGTTTCGGAGCCAGGATTTCTTCTTTCTTCCTATACCCCTTTTACCCTCGATTTTGCCTTCTAATATTACCTGGAGCTGCTCAAATTCCTTATGGCGCATTATGTGTCCTAGATATGACGTCTTTCTAATTTTGATTGTATTAACCAGATGAGGTCGTGTGTTCATTATTTCCAGTACCTCTTTATTTGTAGTTTTGCTGGTCCAGCTTATTCTTAGCATTCGGCGGTACATTTCAAATGAATTCAGTTGGTTGACGTCATACTGTTTTAATGTCCAGGTCTCACAGCCATATAGTAGTAGAGACCACACATAACACTTTAGTGTTCTTAACCTTATTGTGATTGATAGCTTGGGGTTACAGAGCATTTTACGCATGTTCATGAAGCCAGATCTTGCTATTTCAATACGTCTTCTAATTTCTTTTGAGTGGTCTAGCTGACTGTTTAGCTCTCTGCCCAGGTATATGAAGCTTTGGGAGCTTTGAAGGGTGATACCATTGATTTGTATGTTGGGTGTAATTTGTTCATGGGGGTTCTTGTGGAATACCATGATTTTGGTTTTGGAAAGATTAAAAAATAATAATAAATAAATAACCTTCGACAATGCAACATTTTTGCGACATCGTGCATTATAGCAGAGGAATCCGTAGTACATATTATACGACAAACCATACTAACTACATTTCGTAAACTTGGAAAACCTTTCAACAAAAATTTACAATTTGAATGATACATATAAAGTTTATTTGATTTCCATATTCAGCTAGTAATTTATTTATAGGGATATTTAATATTAATTTAATTAGCAGAGGACCTGAATATTTCTAAAAAACACTGAATATACATTACGCAGTTCATAAAATGTATCACTACCTAATGGTTAAAAATGTATCAATTGTATTTATTAAAATATATCAATTCTACAAATCATGAAGCATTTTGATAGGTCGACACTTGAATGACGTTATCCGATAAACTGCAAACCTTTTAATACCTATATTTTCAATTTTATGAAATAATTTTTAACATCATCATTCGAGTGCTTATGTAAATATGATAATATTTGCAAAACGAAGAGGTAAAATATTTTTTATGGACATGGCTGTTTTCATAGGAACGGTTAATTTCGAGATCAAATTTTAATTCATCGTTTTACTAAACTCAAAATTTGTATTAAATCAAAACATTAGTTTTTGTACGTAAACGTCAGTCGTCAGAGAGTTGACCCTAAAAATGATACGAACAAGCTGAATTTTGCCAAAAATAATAATTTTTGGATCGCAAATAAGATGTTAGAAATTTACCACTTTTACGCCCGGACTTAACCCTAAAACCCTCCTTGTAGTGGGGTAAAAACTCAAATATCGATTAACCAAGAATCTGTACGCCGTAGAAAAAAATATTTCAAATAAAAAATGTAGCTGAGATAATTTTTAATAAAAATATTTATTAGCATTTTTTGTGTAGGATGAACCGTTTTCTCAGGAACAACGCTTCAATGTTCATAATTTGTTCATCGAGTTAATATTTTGTCAGTGCTATCGCAAATAAGATGCGTTTAAGTAGAGCGCAGCTTGTGTACGCAGTTTTTGTATTTGCTACAAGTAAACTCAGTTTTTATAAAGGTGTTAAATATATGAGTCATGTAGTTTCAAAACCAGCTACATCCCACTTTAATCAAAAATCAACTAAGTGTGGTGTCGCGCGATTGAAGTACCTTTCTATATTTGTAAAAAATTATTCCTGCCAAAACAGCTTACATCCATTATAAAATCTATTCTAAACTTTGCGGTTACTTGCAGACCTGACTACATCCAAATTGGATAGATCGCGGTTAGTTGCAAAGGCGATTACATCCAAGCTAGAATATCAATCCCCACTTCTTTCGTTGGTCGCGTATGTGCCGAAACGTGTTGATCCGATCTGTTGTCTTCTTTTGTTAGTGTAGATTGTGCTTTTGTAGAGTTTTGTAGGAAATTCAGTCAAGATTTGTCAACGATTCTAGGGGATATGACTCTTTGGTTGTTAAATATTTTTTATATAACTCTAGTACTAAGGCAAAAATTCCTGTCTGTCAAAAAGCATTCTTGAATTCTTTACGTATTACAAAAAGTCGGGTCAAAGGTGTTGTTTTACGTCATTTTGCTACTGGAGAAATGCCCGTGAAAAAAAGAAGAGAGAACCGTAAACATAACACATACGCGATAAAAACACAATCGGTGATTGATTTTATAAAAACGTTTAAGTAATTGAAAAACTCTACTGTAGGAGGAAGGCAGCAAACAGGCAGTATTTACAATCTAATCTCAATATAAAAAAATGTGGCGTATATATCAAGCTCAAGCTGTAGCTTATAAGCAAGTAAAACCTTCATACTTAAGACATGTTTTTAGAACAAATTTCAACATTGGTTTTGACAGTCCACGAACTGATGAGTGTTCTACCTGTATTGCTTATCAGGAACAGATAAAATACTGTAAAGAGCCTAATGTGAAGGTAACATTAATGAGTGAGCAAAGAGCTCATAAATTGAAGGCTAAAGCTTTTTTACGCACTATTAAAGAAATCACGTGAAAACTTACTGACTATATCGTTTGGATCATCAAAAGGATCAAGTGCTTCCTCGTGTACCAACCAAAGTGCCTATTACTCTATGCAATTATACAAGTATAACTTAACCATTGTTTTCACACCATCTCTGTATTGACTTCAAAGCAGCCTATGACAGTGTGAAAAGAACTGCATTATATAATGCAATGATAGACTTTGAGATCCTACCTAAGTTGGTTAAGTTGACCCAAATAACGTAGCTTATGCGTGGAAGGGACAACTTGGAAGTGTTGCAGATTTATTCAACACGGTGTACGATACGGGAATAATACCACAGGAGTGGCTAAAGTCAGCATTGATAACGATCCCTAAAAAACAAGCAGCAAAAGAGTGCTCTGATTATCGAACACTGAGCCTCATGAGTCATACTTTAAAAGTTCTGCTAAAAATAATACATAAGAGAATATACGAAAGGCTATGAAATGATCATACTGTAGAAATAAACAGACGAATAGATATTGCAGATCAGCATTTATACGAATGAAGCCACTCCTAAAAAAATGTAATTTAAAAAGATCGAGGCCTTCGAACTCTGGTTATACCGCAGATTATTGAAAATATCATGGACTGATAGAATTACAAATAAAGAAGTACTGGAGAGGGTGGTAAAGAAACAGAACTAATCACCACTATACAAACCAGAAAAACTGGAATACCTAGGCCACGTGATGAGGGGACCAAAATATAAAATTTTGAGACTGATAATACAGGGAAAGATTCAAGGAAAGAAGATCTGTTGGCCGAAGGCAGAACTCATGGTTAAAGAATCTACGTGATTGGTACCGATGCAGATCGATTGATTTGTTTAGAGCAGCAAGTTCTAAAATAAAAATAGGCCATTATGATTGCCAACCTCCGTAGGGAGACGGCACTCTAAGAAGAAGAAGAATGCGTTAGAATTGAAGGAGAAAACTCTACGTCCTTTGACATAAATAATGGTCTAAGACAAGGAGATGCGTTGGCGTGTCTGCTCTTTAATATTGCCTTGGAAAAGGCAATCAGACAATTAAATATTAGAATGAATGGAACTATTTTTAATAGATCGACGCAAATTCTCGCATTCGCTGATGATATAGTTAGAGTGAGCAGAAGTATGAGAGACATGGTGCAGTGTTTTACAAGGCTTGCGGACGCAGCAAGTGAATTAGGACTTGCAGCAAGTGAATAACCAAATATATGCTGGTTTCTAAAAGCCCTCGAAATATCCAACAGAGATTCAAATTAACAACCAAACCTTTGAGCAAGTAAAAGGAATTTACATATCTTGGATCGCTAGTAAACAACAACAGACACGACAAAGGACGAGAATAAAAAGAGTCAGTAGCATATCAATTATAAGACCGGTTTTGCTATATGGGGCTCAACGTGGACCTTATCTCAAAATGATATAAGACTTCTTGGTATTTTTGAGAGAAAAAGTTATTAGATAGAACCGTAAAGGAAAATGGGCTATGGCGTCGGAGATACAACTATAAACTATATCAGTTATACACCGATCTCGATATTGTGAAATTCGTGAAAGGTTATATTGTGGAAGAAGACCTACAGATTTTACGGGTTAGAAGATGGAGGAAAGTTGCCAGGAAATCGACAGGAGTAGCGACTTCCTTGTGAGCAGGCCATATGATCCACAACGGATTGTCGAGCCACTTATGATGATGATGATGCTAAGTTTTAAACATTTTAGATTATTTGTTATGTGAGTTTAAATCCAGTGCTTTTTAAGCATATTTCAAATGCGTCACATTTATTACCAAAACTCAAAACTACCATTTCATGCTATAGATTTTGAAGGTTAGACTCTAATATTTAAAACTTTATAGTGGACTGTTAATAAAAGGAATAGAATATTGATCTCATCAGAATTATAAAAAAATGGCACTATCGCGCCACGTTTATTATTGCGTATAACACCTTTATAAAATTAAAGTTTACTTGCGCAAAATACGAAAATCGTAAACGAAATCTTCTTCTTCTTCTTCTTTTTATATAGATATGACTCTGTCTGTTTTTTAATGTGCCTTCATTAAGTTGTCGTTCCATCGTTATCGTGGTCTTCCTACTGATCGTCTCTTGTCTTCCTATTGGGGAACCAT